CGCACTAAATCTGATAATACTTTTGTTTTTCCTTAAAGGTCACTTCAAGGTTCTTCCTGGGCCCTACAGAGATGAGAGTAGGCGTGGTGACTTACAGTGACACACCGATGACCCTGCTCGCCTTGAATGAGCTTCAGACACACCAGCACATTCGACGCAAGCTGGGAAAGGCGTCTTACATCACAGGTAAAACCAACACAGCTTTGGCACTCAATCACGCAAGACGCCACTTCCATACGCACACTGCAAACAGCGCGCACGTGGCTCGCTTCATCGTGGCCCTCACTGACGGGGAATCAGACTCCGTGAAAGCAACGATAGAAGAAGCAGACAGAGCTAAGGAGGAAGGAATCAGAATATTTACAGTTGGAATTGGATCCAAGTCGAAAGCGGAGGATTTAATGGCCTTTGCAAGCCAACCATCAGATCGCTTTGTGCTCCGTGTGGACGATTACAAATCTCTCAGAGATATCGATGAACTGTTGGCCATCAAAACATGTGACGTGGCTTCGTCACTTCGTCCTCCTACCAAGTGCCCCAGCTCTCCTATGGACCTGGTATTTGTCTATGACACAAACGCGTTAACGCCGCAGCATCACCGATACATCATCGGCGTCATATCTGACGTCACTGAAGCAAACGGTCTCAACAGTAGTGACCTGAGGGTGGGGGTTCTTCGTGAGGCGTCCGCGCTTGGTGAACCAGGTCTACACGACATCGAACTTACCAACCAATGGGACCGCTGGAATTTTAAACATCGTCTGGAAGCTTATGAATCTAGACGGGCATCTATTTTCCTGTTGCTGCAGAAGGCTCGCCACAAGTACTTTCCCCCAACGTTCCAGTACGAGGTCTCAAGTCATAAGAAAGTTGTAGTTCTCTTCGTGGACTCAGTTTTGGACAAAGAACTTGCGTCCAATCTGGAAGCCATGCGTCTCCGGAAGTCTGGAGTGACCATTATTGTTGTGAGCGTAGGGAAATATTACAAGAAACTTCAGTTACATCAGCTAGCGTCACACCCCATCAGTAAATACATTTTGAACTCACCATCTGCTCGAAATGGTTATCACAAAGCAGAACTAGTCTCAAAACTGATACAAATATTATGTGAGTAGCGTTTGAATTTATTTCAGTCATGATTTGTTTTCGAAAATTGTTATTTATTTAATATTGAAGACTTTCCACAGTGCTAAAATATGTATATATATGCTAATTTATCGATTGTTGACTTGAATTGGTGTTAAATTATTTAATACTAGAGAATGCTTTCTGAGACCAAAAGATAATTATGTATTATATGATGTTTGACAAATGAGAAATTAAATGTATGTACTTGGAAACATGCACATGTTCCACTTACGCATACAAAGAGAGAGAGAGAGAGAGAGAGAGAGAGAGAGAGAGAGAGAGAGAGAGAGAGAGAGAGAGAGAGAGAGAGAGGAGGGAGAGAGAGAGAGAAATGGAGAGGAAGGGGAGAGAGGAAAAAGAAAGTCAATGGGAAGAGAGAGAAAGAGAGAGCGAGAGAAAGAGCGAGAGAGAGAGAGCGAGAGCGATCGAGAGAGAGAAAGAGAGAAAGAGAGACAGCCAGGATGGGAGGAGAGTGAGAAAGTGTGTATGTGTATGTGTGTGTATGTGTATGTGTGTGTATGTGTGTAAAGAGAGAGGGGGGAGAGAGAAGGAGAGAGAGAGAGATAGAGAGAGAGAGAGAGAGAGAGAGAGAGAGAGAGAGAGTTGTTTGGTTGTAAACACATTAGGTTCACACGTATTGTTGTACATGCTTTTGTTGATGAAGATTCCTTTTGGAATGTCTACCGTTCATCATGCACAATCTTGTATTGGAGGATGAATTATCCAAATCATTTGCGTTTCCGATAAGTTGCATTTCATCTTGTACTTGATCGATATATAGTTTTGGCTTAGAGCGAATTTTGGTAGCAAACCTAAAGATTCTATTCGCAGTGACACAATGTGATATGTTGAGGTTTGCCGTAGTAGGAACTTATTCCATTACAGATTTGCATTAGCAAAACTGATTAAACTGGTATTCTTTTGAATAAACAGAAGTGGTCTATGGCTGTTCTGCAGCCCTGACCCTGGAGCAGATGAGATCTAAAGTCTATAGTTTTCTCTGGAAAGGAAGAGAGACCAATGAAAAGTATGAAGAGAAACCAATGGTCCTGGTTGAGCACTAGGTAGGTTGGCTAGAACTAGTAACTACGAGTAAAATTGAATCCAGAAAACCCACTCCCTTCCCTTGTATTGGGAAACTTGTACCCGAATGAACTTTGCAAGTATTTTTTCTATGTTGATACCGTTATTGAAACTGATCGACCAAGTCACTATTATACTAGTCCTAATCAACATGATTGTGTACATTGTACATTGTATTACGATAATTATTTGTAATACATGTAATTGATTACAATATTGCTTATTTTGTGTACAACCAATGACAATCGGAATGAGTCTATGGACATTTTGCTGATTATTATAACTGGCCCGTCACTTGAATGATTGGTTCAGAACTTTCGGAACTGTTTGGTTGATTGGTTGTTATACCACAGCATCTACACACTTCGAGAGGTGCTTCTTCAGGGGACGGAGCGTTTATAGGAATGCCCCTTGTGCAGTGATGTCGGTCCTTCACACAAGTAAACAAGTATACCACTATAGTATGCCTCTGAATTATATTTTTCAAATCTTCAAACAGATACAATGTAGGCTAGTCCGAATCGCAGCGTTAAGATATAAAAAATAGAACTCTCTGTTATTTCTTATTTGTTTTCTAGAGGCAATAGGATTGTGTCTGAATGGTTTGATTTGCATCTGAAAGAATTTTATACCGTCGAAACAATCATTTGACGGATGAAACCCCCACACATCAAAGAAAATAATAACAAACTTAATTTTTATTCTCGACTGTGAGAATGAGGTTGTTTACACACACGGCTTTTTCATGATTTTGAATGATTTATAAGGTTGGATCTCTTATTATAGGAATTACTTTCCAGAATAAAAGAGAGGTATGTAGATTCTCAATCCAGAGATAGGATTGTGACATTTTGATATTATAATGCGTATCATACAAATTATAATGTAATGTGCAGGTCAGTTGATCATATTATGGTCCTAAGTTTGGAATCTGACATATTTTAAAACTTGTATTAGTACTGGAAAGAATTTAAAAGAACAAAGTGAATCTCCGCGTCTTTCTACCTCAAAAGGTTTAGATTTTTTCTTCTTCTCCCTCGCTCCGATTTTTCACATTAACATGCTGTACATTATTGTTTTAAATCCCCCGGTTCAACTGGTAAAAACTGTTTCCGAGTACAAACTGAATTATGTGACAATGCTTTCTTGTGTATGTGCGTGTATATATGTTGCTTATTTGTTTTTGCATTATGGTTTTTACTTTGTTTGGTGCAAATGTAATCTTGCAAAAAACATGGATTTTTTTTTCCGGGGAGGGTTGGGGGGGGGGAGGGTGAAACAGAATGTCAGAGGAAGATTTGTAACACGAAATGTCATGCTTTTAGATATATCGACTTCTACTCTACAGATGTATTAGAGTGCTAAAATTAGATAGATAGATAGATAGATAGATAGATAGATAGATAGATAGATAGATAGATAGATAGATAGATAGATCGATAGATAGATAGATAGATAGATAAATAGATAGATAGATAGATGGATGGATAGATAGATAGATAGATAAATAGATAGATAGATAGATAGATAGATAGATAGATAGATAGATAGATAGATAGATAGATAGATAGATAGATAGATAGATAGATAGATAGATAGATAGATAGAGGTAGGGGGAGAAAGAGATAAGGAGAGTTAAACAGACAGACAGACAGACAGACAGACAGACAGACAGACAGACAGACAGACAGACAGACAGACAGACAGACATGAGAGAGAGGAAGTCAGAAAGATGGAGAGAGAGGGAGAAAAAAAGAGAAAGAGAGAGAGAGAGATGAGTAGCAGTAGAGAGAGGCCAATGTGTTATTGTCGCCCATGATATTTATGGCGTTATTTTCTCATCTCATTTGCGTCTGTTGGAAAGTTGAGTTATGTAAATTTTGGAAAAAAAATCATAATAGGTTTTACAGTCATTCCTAGATTATGATAAATCTTCGACCTCTGTAAAAAAATAGTATTTTATGCTCACTATTCTGAATCACACAGTTGTCACGCTTTAAACGCATTTAGTTTTTCAAAGTCACTTTTTTCACTTTGTTGTTGTCTCAGCCTTTATTTAGATCAAGTCTGAGCATACAACATTTTTGTAAATCTCATAGAAATCCATGGGAGAATTCAAAGAAAAACTCATTAATGCGAAAGGTTATATTATGCTATTAAAAACTATGTTCATAACATGTTACTTTTTGTATGAAATGTGATTACGATATAATAATCTACAATCGGTACCAAGAGTGCTTAACGATTGTTTTTGCTTTTCCAGGTTCTAGTCCAATGTCAGTTTTTGAATTGGAACTTTTCACCGCAAACGTAAATGTGTATGTCTCAGTGTAGACTGAATGTTTTCTGAAGCATTTTTGTAAAAAAAAAAGAATTCGTACTTACACGAGCGAGTATATCGCCCTACACCCCACACCCGCTCCCCGGTCAAAAATTGAAAACTTGACATCTAAGTCTCACATTGATTGTAACTCAAATACACAGAGTTTTAGAAGTGTTCTTGTGATATTTTATGTTTTATTGTACCATGACATCATTATCCATAAACACATCTGAACGAAATAAACAAACTTTTACCCCTCACGATTAATTCTATGTACGTATGTGATTCCATGCTTTTGTACAGAAATAAAAAGACATGGTTTATAATTCAGTTAAGACTAGACGAACTTAATTATCTAATTGGGATTTTTGTTCTCTTGCACTTGCTGATAGTGAACACGTGCAGTTACAACATGTCTCTCTCTCTCTCTCTCTCTCTCTCTCTCTCTCTCTCTCTCTCTCTCTCT